TGCTTTGTGGCTACTCTGCCAGTAATAGTCCCAGTCATAAATGTCCCAAGGGTCAGGAAAGATGCACTACAAATACACTCAGCCAAGGCCCAGGGACCTGTTTCCCTCTCTTTTAGATGTTATCCTTTCTTGCAAATGATCTCGCTCCCTAAGAGACTACTCTGCTTGAAAAAAAGCTGCCAGTGTCCACTCCTATTAAGCCACTGCAACTACTCCATTTCTGTGCATCCTCCTTGTCCACTCCTGGGAATCACTCGGCACTTTCTCCATCCCTAAGCACCAAGCCTTCCTTCCCCCTGTCTGGCAGAGCTGCCCCCGTCTCTCTCCAGTGCAGGCTTCATCCTCAATAACCGTCAGTGCACTTCTGTGCAGAGCAGGCTGTAATGTGATTAACTTTATGCTTCACAACCTCAGTGTAAGAAGTAGGTCCCGGAGTAGGGATTTGACATGAAGCTCTCAGGCACGTACAGGGCCTCGGTCAGAAAAACAGCTCTTCCTTCCTGAAATGGCAGAATAATACGGCTCTGAACTACACGAAATGGCCAATTGCTCGAAGGAAACAACGCTGCCAAACCTGAGCACTACTGAAGGGAAAGACATGAAACAGGAGATAATTGCTCCATTCTACCTCCAAGACAAGGCCAAAAGATCACAGGGTTTGCAACCATTTCTTTCTCTCGGTGTGCTGCGCTTTAAGGCTCTGAATTAACTCTCTCAATACAAACGCGAGTGGTTTGCCTTGCAAGCATATACTTACCGTTGTCCATTTATCAGGTACTTGCATTGTTTGCTGTCTTCACTTTCTCTTCTCCCTGACATCTTAATTGTAGTGTCTGCATGTTAATTGTTAATGCCCTCAGCAATGAGAAGCTGTGATATTACAATGAATTTGCAGCCTCTACAGGAGAGAGTGCTATCTAATGCTTTAGAACATACTGCAAAACCATCGTTATCCTCATGGGATGCTACCTTCAAGAAGCAGTGCCTTTTTCAAATCATAAAGAATTAGAAACTTCATGCTAAAGAACTGAGAGATTCTTGTAGGCTGGCTGCAAGGGAATTCCTGCAGCAGCAGAGTCCTGGGACCTACAAAAAGGGCTTCTAAGCTGGTCAGAAATTGTGCTGTTTTCCACGCAGTTTACACAAAAGCACTGTCAGTAATTTGCTACCACTGTAAATGTGCACTTGATTCAGTGTCCCTGTTTTAATTTTCCTTTGTAACTCTTGGTCTTGCAAAGCACTGATTATTATTCATCAGCTCTGAGGCAGAAGACGTGTCAAGCTCTGCACAGTATTACACAGTTTTGAAACAAAGTCTGCTCCTTTACATTAGAAGAAAGGGGATCAGATTTTCCAAAGCGTCTTGGCACTCCATGTCAAAGCCACATGCCTACTGCAATTCTTAAAGGCACCTGCAAGAGTTTCACACTTAACTGCCATTAAAATAAAAAGCAGATTAACGTCTGGTTAGTCTGCTTAGGTACTTAGGGAAACTCGTTGATTTCTCAACTGAGTTATTAAGCATTTGCTGATTTGGAAAACCCAGCCCCAAAATCTTGCCTTTTTCCCTGAGTATGACAGGAGCCAGGTTTCAAGTGAGAAGAGTAGCTTGGAGAACCACATAATCATCCCTGTACAGAAGAAAAGCTCAGTGATGGGAAAGCTGGTAGAGCTATACAGCAGTGCTCTTTCCGCAAGTGTTTGTTGCAGGTGGAGTTTTGAAGTCTTTCATTGAGTTGAATGGGCTTAAATTTTGACATGAACTCAAGCTCTTTGTCGATCTACTGTGGAATTGGATAGGACATTTGTATATTTACTGTTTAGAGATGTGACTGGGATAATACCCGTCACATGAGGCGATACTCTTTGGATGACACTTGGTTTTATATATGCTTCTTATGCTTCTTCTGAATTATTTACACAGTCTACAATGGGCATACACAGGTGATCAAAGCTAGCATAACCTCTACAGTTAGAACTTCCTTGTCAAAAAGTGCCGAGGGGTGGGTGGAGAGGGAAGCGTTCAAAGGCTTTGCAAAAAGTTGAAGACATTTCTAACCTATAAGACTTCCAGACCCTAAAGTCAGCAGTATAAATCTCCCTGTATTACTGATAGCAGAGCTATGTGTCCATGTGCCTGGCAGTTCACACATAAGGGAATATCAGATAGCAATGTTTATTAAGTATCTAACAGTTAGTCATTTTTCTGTCCTTGCAGGAACGCTGTCACAGGCACTGGATTATTCATGGACACTAGACAGCAGTGTGTGTGCTGCCATAAAAATCGCTGTATGTCAAATTATTGGAACACAGTCCAACAGAGATTCAAGCGTATGGCTAGTGCTGCCATAGGAGCAGAGCTTGCTAAGAGCTCAATTTCCATATTTAACTGCATTTGCTGGGTTAGGGCTTGATTACATTGTCAGAAACATACCGATGTCTCCCAGGCACAAAGAGCAAGGAAAGAAGGCTTTGGTGAAGGAACAAAGTGTTTTTGGTTTATAATGCAACATAAAGCAAAGCTGGAGACATGGAAGCCAGGAAGAAAATCGCAATCCTGCTAAAGTCAATGGGAGTTTTGCCACTGAACTCAACAGGACCGCTATTTCATGGTCACTAGGCTCCTGTCAGTGTATCAGTAACAATTCCTCCTCCACCTGACTTGATGCTGAGTCTCAGAGACACACACGTTATATTACACAAGCTGCTGGGTCTTTGTTCCTAAAGTTTCATTTCTGTTAGAGATGGATGAATAGACTTTTGAAAAGGAAAACAGGGAAAAGTCAAATTTTTACTCCCGTCTATTCACTTTCCCTCTAAAACCTCTCTGAAGGCTAGAGGCAAACAATACTGGATCTAAAATAAAAGATTAGACAGGCACATTGTGTTATAATGGGGATTGCTCCAGGTCCAAAACACAAATAATTCACAACACAGGATGGAGAGAATATTATGGATTAATTTTTGATCTATCAGATAATCTCTTTACCAAGAGTGAAAGGAATTTTAAAACCAAACCCTTGCAGCGTTTTCCAGTTTGGATAAACAACCACATTTATGCAAATGTATTTAATATCTCAGTTTTCTAGCATAATGGTCATAGATGTTGTTACTAGGATGTCCCACTACCAGCCTGAATGCTTGACGCATACAAACACTGGGAAGTTATGCGTGTTCTCATTAATTTTCAAAAATCTACAGGGTTCTAACACAAACAGTGCCAGTATAAGCATATAAATGAAGGTACTTAATGCCAAGAACATAATCAGACTATCAAATGGTATGTGCGAAAGCATGAATTGCTTGTCTGCCAATAGAATGAGCAAACATAACAACCTCGCTGTCTGCTGGCTTTTTATTCCAAATTCAGTGTCAAGGACTTAAGCCATGACCTGAAATTCTATAGCCCCAGGCCTGCTCCATATTTTTCTCTGTTTCGCCAAACCTGCAAGAGCAGTGAAGGAGCTCTCACAATATGTTAGTTGCTCAGGAGGGTCCCTGTGCCCTAAATTTGTCTCTGCTCTTAGCAGAACAATGCAGAACATGCCCCCCACCCTGTCAAACTCTTTATTGAGCTTGTGCACTCTGTGAAACGCTACCCAAACGTTATGTATTTAAGGACACGACTGTTGATGGAACCTGCAAATTTAAAATAAATATTGCAGACTGCTCTTGGGAACAATCTCAGGTTTAGAATAACAAGAGCCATAGGATTCAAAGAGCTGTGCTTATCCAGGCAGTGAGCAGGGACATGTTCTCTTGTGCGTGTGCAGCAGAAATCTCACCAGAGGGCACATCAAGGACGCTGGAGCCTGTATCTGATAAGAAAATGTATATTCAATTAAACTTCTTTATAAGCTATGCCAGTTTGCTTTTAAAGCCCTCTTTAACAGAGAGCTCTGTTTTTCCAGGAAAGGATCACAGAAGGGAAATGGAAAGCAGCAGCTTCTTTCAAGAAGGCAAAGTTTCTGTTAAGAAACTGAAGCAACAATCTGGGACTGAACTGTGGGAAAAGCAGGCGTAGATTTCCTGCTTGCTGTGTGCTGCCTGGTGGGCAGCCTGTTACCAAGCCACGTGACTCACAAATACAAATGCTGCAACCCAGCGAGTATCCCAAAAAGCTTTGTACATGAAACACTGCATACCCAGAGGCTGTTTACCTTTCTAATTTTTAAGCAAAACAGATGGACTCTTTGCTAGATAACCACTCCCCCGCTGTTCTCTTTGCTGAAGCTATCACCTACCAGTCTAACAGAGCACACCGAAAATGGCAGTTTCTTTCCTTTCTGCAAGTTCCAAGAATGATCGAAAGAGACTCTCTCCCAACGTGCATAAAGCGATCCCGCTACCTTAAAGCATACGTCAGCCGTATGTTCCTATCACATGGATTAATTATACATGGCTCGTGCAAACTGAGAGAGCTCTGTCAAAGCAGGCAGGCTCATTTACGCTGAGGACACAGTACCCAGAATATCTACGGTTTGATGGGAGCTTTTGAAATCATCTAGATGACCCCCGTCTCCCCTGAGAGATGTTTTTTTTCCATTAGGTGCTTCAGTGGCAGAGCGTCTCCAATCCTCCTGACCATCCTGTTCTAACATTTCAGGGCCCTAACCTGCGACAGCATTTCGGCCTGATGTCTAATGACAAGTTCCCTGCTGCTTTATAAATCCATTTCTTCATGCCTTATCTACTATGGGCACAGAACAGGCTATTCCCCTGCTTCTGGCTATCGTCTTTTTTGTACTGTTGCCATGCCTCCCTGCTTGCTCACGAGCACCGGTGCATACCATCTTAGTGAAGCTACGTAATTATTCACAGCCACTACTCGGCAATAGAAACAGGAGTTGGTGGGTGCTGGGTCCTATCAGAGGCAGTAGCCATTAGGGACCATGGTGCTCAGCACCTCACAGAAGCCACTGAGAACTGGGTGTTCTCTTAAACAGGAATTTAACAAACTCATGTTGCTTCTCAAATATTTATGGAAAGGGGGATGTGCCCCCGGAATAGTGTCAGACGTGCATGGAGCACCAGCTCGTGCTTACCCTTTTTACAGTGTGAACTTCACTGCAAGAGACTTAACAAAACACGCTCAGGCTGCCAGGAGGAAGGCGAGCTGCATCCACAGCAAGAGGACACAAGATTTGTGACAGCGTGTGGTGTAAGGCGCAGCCACTCTCTGCCATTTTTGCTCGGTTTGCTACTGAGAGCTGTGCGTCTGCACATGGGAGGCGCTTTCTGCTGATATTACCGGGCATCGTGCCAGGCCTCAATGATGAAAGAGTGATGCTGGGGAACGCACTAAGTGATAATGGCATGAAGAAACACTCAGACTGGCATTCATTTCCAGATGCTATGGTGACAGGTCCTCATACAGACGCCGGTGCTGTAAGTAAACAGAAAATAAAAGTCGCTCCATTTTTCAGGAAAATAAATGTCTGAAGAAGAAAGTCTAATACACAGCTCGTGTGCCAAGGGCTCTACCAGTTACCTTTCGCCACATTTTCCCTAGTTTATATGCAACTTGGATCCTCTCCGTGAGCAGTGCATGCATGGTAAATTATAATGTGCATGTTTTATTACAGAAAATGCAGACATATTGTGGCTCATGCTGTAGGGCTTAAATCATCACATTAGGTCTTTATAAAAAATGGAGATCGCTCAGCCTCATGGGAAAGGCATTTGCATCTTCATCATTACAGAGGCAACAAACTTCATCCATAAAGATGTGCCTAGAACAAATGGCAGCAAATTGTGGACACATGTTTTGCTTTAATTGGTCCTCATCAACTCCATCTAGCTAGTGACTTCAAAGAGCTCTCACTAAGAAACCCCTTCCAAAATTTTTGGTTTAATCTTTTTACGTTCTTTTTTAAACGTCTCGGAGATTTCAGATTAAATAGAATCTTTGAAGATACAGTTTGAAAGCAGCGCTTCTTTACAGTTCTATCACATGTTTAATTACTTATTCATAAATTATGAATGGCTAGAGGTAAAGCAGCATTGCCCAGAGCCCCTGTCCTGGGCCAAATGTGGTATTGCAATTTTTACAAAGTCTATCTCTTGACAACTGGGATCAGAGTCAAGCCAGCTACAACCATATTCAAAAGAGCAGCTGCTGCTAGTGCCATTTTCACATACTATTCTTGATCAGCATAAATGGATGGAATATGCTCTTTTTGGAAAGCACAGCAGAGGAATATGGATGGCAATAGACTGATTACATAACTCATCTGAAATTCACCAAACAGACAGATGCTACATTTAGTCTCTCAAATTCTTATTTAGAGATGGGCCTGATTCCTTAAAAAATACAACTCACATTTCCTACCAGTGTATAAAACAGAAGAGTAAGCCTTTTCTTCGAGCCCCCAAACCAAGCAGTCCTCACAAGAATGAGGGCCCCACTGTCTCAGACTCTGCATAGACACACAGCTGAATACAATGCAAATGAACAGAGGTGGAAATGAATGCACAGAAGGGTGTAGCCACTACTGGCCCAGTGGCACAGCTGGGACTCAATAAAGGTGTGACAAGTCTCATAGCAGTGAACCAGGTTTGGGATGAAACTACTTCTTCTTACCTGTCTTGTCTCTCCAGCTGATCACCAGTTGTACAAAATCCACCAACACTTTATTCAAGACATCCCAGTTTTTGATTCATAAGAGTACATACACAGGGCACCTCTCTCTGTAAACCTAAGGCCTCAATTAACCACTCATAACATACCAGAAAAGATGAAAATCCTGCTACATCAGAGAGGCAGCACCACAGACCCAACTGTTGCAGTTGCACGTAAGGAAGGTGTAGGACATCAGTGAATCAGGCCAAAATAAAACATATTCCTTTGACACTTTTCTTGATTTTTTTTTGGTAAATTAGAATAGCAAAAACAACCAGTCTAGCAGAACAAAAAAATCTCACACTTTATACCCTAATGGCAACGAGTAAAACAAAGTTATTAAATAGATTGTTGTAAGTCTATAAAATATTTGTTACATGAATTTTCACATACAAACCCCAAAAATACAATATTCCTTGCATTGTTCATCCTGTGAATATTAAGCATGTTTTTGTGGTTTCTGTCTAGCTTGGAACAGAATAAGAGAAATCTATAAATAACCGTGTAATATAATATGCACATTGAAGTGAGAAGTTCTGCTGAAGAGGCAACATAAACTTTTAAAGAAATATTCTTACCGTAAACTAGCAATTTCTTTTGCAAAACATACAATGAAGATAGTACAGTTATATTTTGTCTTTTCTCATTTTACTTACCTTCCAAAATTTTGAAGAAAAAGTTACAAATTATGATGTTTGCACTAAAAATATCAGTCTACAGAAATGTCAATACTATTGAACACCTAAAATCTTGCTTTATACCTGTGGATAGGGCAAAGAGCCCTTATCTGCACAACCTAAATTTCACCTTTTGGGAGTCTTTTTGCTGGACTTCCATATTGCATAAACTCTTCTGAAAGCAAAAACTCAGAAAAAATAATCCAGTAATCTCCAGAAGTGACACAGAATTTAGTCTGTGTGAGTCTGGGGCTCCCTTCCCATCACTCTCAGACCTTTTTGAAAGAACACACCAGACATTAGATGGATCCCATTTGTCCACAGCAAAATAGACAAAAACGATCATTACAAAAAAGTTGTTGCATTATTCCTTTCCAACCATCATCCTCTGCTTCTACTTCTCATTCTCCTGAGGGTGTTTAGTTTCAAGGCATAGCAGATCGCATTCACCCTTGTACAAGACTCTGTGGAATCACCTGATACCTTAATTTCTTTTTTTTTTTTTTTTTTTTTTATTACATCTCCAAACATCTCAATGAACAAGAGAATTTAACTTCTTCATGGTTCCTCCAGGTAGATGACACAAGACACATGATTATGTGCCTTTCTCAGTTGTGGCTGGCATAAATAATACTGGCTTATTTATGAATTTGAATGATTTAATTATTACAGGGAAAAAAATATATATATTTACTTACTAAACAGTTGGCAATAGAGGACCTGTAAGCTTCTCTTCATGGTATCATGTGATCCTGCTGGTCTGCCAGTTTATTCATGATTCTGTCAAGGAAATCAAGAGAAGAAAATGATTTGTAATTTACTACAAAATTCATGCTTTATTTTTGCATCCATTGATTACAAAGTAAGATGGAGCTTCACAGGAAAATTGTATTGATTAGCAAAAGGAAAATGCTTAACTGTGCTTTAGCCTTTTTAGCCATGCTTTCCAACAGCTTGACAGTGAAGGGTATAGCTAAAAACAAAGCTATCCCCTACAAAGGGTACAACTTTCTCACTGAAGAGCAAACATGAGATGCTGACACTGCCAGGCAGCTGTGCAGGGCTCACAGAGCTGGAGCCGCCTCCTGGAGTCTCCCCTTCTTGCATCACTCCAGAAGTCCTCAGAGAGTATTTTCAAATACTCATCACAGGTGTTTTTCACCTCAGTTTTAAACATCAACCCCAGTCACACTGATGTTAATTATTCACATTTTGAGGAAAATAAATGCATAAATCAGAAGTGAGAAGCACACACAGTCCCCAAACACTACTGTGAGTAATGTCTCACTGAGGACCCAAAGACAGGACAGCATTTATGCTTTTCATTCCATAAAAAAGATTTGTTGGAGATTCATAACCAACTTTGAAAGATAGGACACTGAGATTCCTCTTGTGAATATTAAACAGTGTGTTCTATCTTCTCAGTTTCAGTTCAACAATTTCTTCTTCCAAACTGCTTGGGATGTTCCTGAGTCACTTTTACATGCCCTCATAAAAATCTTTCAGAACTTACTTAAAATGCAGTCCTGAATATATAAGATAAAGAATCCAAACCAATGAGTAACACTTTGGAACTGAATAAATGCCGACCAGTTTGTGAAAACAGAACTGTATTTAAATATATTTTATGCAGAAGGCCTTTAAGGATTAAAACTTTTCTTTCCTGTGCTCCGTAACAAAAGATGCTTGGGTTTTGTTAAGTTACTGGATACAGCAATTTGTGTACACAAATTTGGCTTCTCTCATGCTTTCTTTCCCATTTAAAAAGGGACCTCAAAACATTGGAGGAACTCGCAGAAATTTCAGTATTTGTAAGTTGTTTTCTTCTAACTGAAAGCAATCATCTGTGAATGAATTTATTATTTTTCAATCAGAATTAGGCTCATAATGATGCTGGATCATTAAGACTTCCTGAAGGACCCCTTGTCTTCCCTTTCTCCTTGAGGTTTATCAAACAACAAGGCAAACACAGTTAAAAAAAAAAAAAAAAGTCTTTATGCATAATCATACGCATTTCATATGGTCCATTACAGCACTTTTCAAAGACACGTAGAAAAAGCCTGTGCATTTAGGGTTGCAATTTCAAATTCTCCATTTTTTATTGTATTTACTTGACTCCAGATTGTTCAGTGCTTGTAAATTCTGGTCTGACATACACTTAAAGCTGGAGCCCTTGGGGATATGGAACCTATATTGTCAGTGGTTTATCTGGTTCTTACTCTTTTCTGCAGATATTTTTATTAATACCTTAATGGTGAAAGCATGGTCAACACAGGCTTTTTGTATAGTTCACACTGTGCTTGGCAACTGTGATGTGATCCACTGTTTTGGGCTGTGAACCACAACTGATTCATATTTCCCTTCCATCTCCATGTTAATGCTACCCGTAGTGTATAAAAGCATTTTACTTATAAATTCTGGTCTCGTGGTTAAAATAAATGGGATGCTGTTGAATATTTATTTATTTAGATGGTACTCCTAGCGTAATTTACCCTGTGCTAAGATGTAGGAATAAGTGTGTATATGGGGAAAGAAACAAAAATCAGCACTTGAAAACTTTCATGATATTTTTCTGTTGTCTTCAGTTAGAAAATTTATCTTCTTGATTATATGGCCACAAAAATCTACTTCGAGAACTCACTAAAACTGCGTAAACCAAAATTGCCTTGAGTTTGCAACCTCTAAAATTTCTTCAAAGTTCTTGGCATGACTTAAGGTTAAACATAAAAGCGTGGAAAACAGTGCAAGTAAATCCATATTTTTGAATATCGAATTTTTTGTGTAAAAGAAATGCATGCAAAGCAAGGATTTATCTGACAGGTACTGTAAGATAAGATAGATTTAATGAGATTTACTTGTATGTTGGGAAGCCAAATCGCACCAGCAATGATTTTCCAAAGACAGGGTCTGCTTGCAACCACTATCAACACTGCACAGAGTTCAGGCAGATGAACCGCTGCGTTACAAGCCTGAATCATGGCTTTATGTTTGACCAGAAGAACCATGGTGGTATCTACCAAGATGAAAACTCCAGCGAGTGCAAGTCCACTGCCTTGTGTTTAATTTTATCTACCAGCAGAACCAGAGGAAAATAACATGTGAATCAACCTGAATATAAAGAAATCCTTGCATCCTACCGTATCTGACTCAATTTTCAGCAATCCTGGGCTGAACATGGGATCTAACTGCCATGTCTTATAACTAATTATTCCTTACTCATCTCTTCCTTGTCATACACGTAGAGGCTGGGCAGAGAATGGATTGAGAGCAGCCCTGAGGGGAAGGGCCTGGGGGTGCGGTTGACGAGAAGCTCAACATGAGGCAGCAATGTGAGCTTGCAGCCCAGAAAGCCAACCATGTCCTGGGCTGCATCAAAAGCAGTGTGGCCAGCAAGTTGAGGGAGGTGATTGTCCCCTTCTGCTCTGCCCTTGTGAGCCCCCACCTGAAGCACTGCATTCAGCTCTGGGGCCTCCAGCACAAGAAGGACTTGGAGCTGTTGGAGTGAGTCCAGAGGAGGGCCATGAGGATGCTCAGAGGGCTGGAGCACCACTCCTATGAAGACAGGCTGAGGGAGTCGGGATTGTTCAGCCTGGAGAAGAGATGGCTCTGGGGAGACCTTATAGCGGCCTTCCAGTGCCTAAAGGCGGCTACAGGAAAGCTGGAGGGGGCCTCGTTATCAGGGAGTGTAATGATAGGAAATGGTTTTTAAACTAAAAGAGGGGAGATTAAATTTAGATATTAGGAAGAAATTTCTTTACTCAGAGGATGGTGGGGCACCAGAACAGGCTGCCCAGAGAAGCTGTGGATGCCCCATCCCTGGAGGTGTTCAAGGCCAGGCTGGATGGGGCTTTGGGCAGCCTGGGCTGGTGGGATGTGTCCCTGCCCATGGCGGGGGCACTGGAACAAGGTGATCTTTAACGTCCCTTCCAACGCAAAGCATTCTGTGATTCTGTGATCTGTCACGAACAAGAGAGGTTACAAACTGAGTGTTATCTGGGGGGGCTCTGGTTCACCAACCCATGGTTTCTGAAGTAACTAAGGGAGCAATTTTAGGCACTAACAGATTAGCAGAGCTATGCACACGCAGATGGCAAATGCAGTCACACAGCCAGCTCCTGACCTTGCACAGATTAATATAAAACCAGAGTATTGCCACCTGTTTTAAATCAACTGTAATTAACAAGAAAAAAAAATATAAAGAGTGAGCAGGAACAAAAAATAGTACAGGAAAAAAAATGCATTTGAAAAGTATGTGTTAAGCTTTAAAAATCTAAGAGCTATTCTGAGTAGATGAGTTTTCTGCTCATTCTAGCTTCACTCTATTCTTTTAACACTTCCCCAAGTTTTCACAGGAGTACACTTTGCCAAAATATTCATTTTGAAACATATTTTGCTTCAATATTTTATGAGCCATTCTGACTATTTGAGGGAATTATGCATTACAAATATGTTGGATCTTTGATTAGGATCAAAAAAAATAAAGATTCTTAAACTTCATTTCCTAGATTCATAGTTATGTTTCTAACTACTTGGTTATATTCCCAATCACTCTGAAGACCCACTCGCTCTCCTCTAAAGACTAGAAAATAATAGTCTAATTAAAGCTTTTCCTTTCCTTTCCTTTCCTTTCCTTTCCTTTCCTTTCCTTTCCTTCCTTTCCTTTCCTTTCTTTCCTTTCCTTTCCTTTCCTTTCCTTTCCTTTCCTTTCCTTTCCTTTCCTTCCTTTCCTTTCCTTTCCTTTCCTTTCCTTTCCTTTCCTTTCCTTTCCTTTCCTTTCCTTTCCTTTCCTTTCCTTTCCTTGTAGACTGTAATTCATGTTGGTATATTTAGAAGTAATAAATCTAGTGCAAGTTTGTACACTCAAATTCATTTTAAGTTATAAAGACCCATCTTCAATAGCAAAATTGGTGGAAATTTGTAACCACAAAGGGTGTTACATGCCTAGTCTTAGATACCTGTGTTTGAAAATACCAGCTAATGTGGTGTTTGAATAGAGCTTACGTATTTTGCCCTTTTTAGTGCACAATGTTTCACATATAGTTTATCTTAGGCATGATGATGAATAGATATGTGAAACCCCTACGGACAGCTAGCAATATTGTCTTTCACAGTAAGTGATCCCTTCAACGTCTCAGATAAATTAAAGAGGACAATGAAGACATAATGATGAATAGAAGACAAAAGAGTCCAAAAGAGCTGACAGCTCCCAGCCATTCATTATGTCTGATGAGAAAAAAAAATACCAGTGGTGCCTTAAATTAAAGAAGAAATGGAGGAGAACAGAAGACGAGTGTTGAGAGAAACCTAGCAGTCAATGGACAACCTTTTTTGCCTTTTGAGTCTGTCACACAGAAACCAATAGACTGAAACAAGAAGATGAAAAACAGGTGATGGAAAGAGGAGATAGGTAAAAGACATATCAGTTGTAATCCATGAGGCACGAAAACTTTATTATTTTATTTCTGTCTTCTCAGCTATACTAATCCTGGTTTTGAAGAACATGAAAGAGGAAAACAAGACAGATCCAGAGTTACCTCCATCTTCAGTTGGTGAATCCCCAAGGAAAGTCAACCTTGACCCTTTTAATATTGTCCTGTTCTTGAGGGCTCCACAAATCCTTACAAGAAGGCAACAGCAGAGGCTCCTAACTTAAAACTCATGGAGGTGTGATTTCCCTGTGAGTGAAATGTCTCTTGCAAAGGGTACTTCCAACAGCAACCAGACGTCTCCCAGCAATAAGGCCAGACCCTCTATTTTTCCACCTCTCTTCCTGATTGAAG